CTAAACAACAGGAACTCAAATTAAATCTATAATCATTAAACAGTGTATAAACTCTAGAGGGGTGGTAAACACTGAAGGAATCCTAACCGGGAGAAGTAATGGTGGCGAAGACAACACCTCCCATGATCCCACGCTGCTTCACCACCTCATCCAACTTCCTGCATTGTGATTGTTTTGATGTGAGAAAAATTACATATTGTACGTTTAAGTAAAAGTATTGTAGTAGTAGTAGTTGTTATGCAGATTAATCCAATAGTTTAATTTATAATAATACATCATAATTCATTAGGTGATTATATTTTGTATTATTAATCTGACTTTGCAGAGTTGTAAAGTATAAATAAACAAATATAGTGGGGTAAAAAGTGCAATATTTGCCTCCAAAATGTGAAAAAGTAGAAGCATAAAGAACCATAAAATTGTAGTTAAATGCTTCTTTCCACCACTGCAGCCGTGTATCTGTGGAAGAATGTGACAGAAACATTATTATCTTCATGTGTTCACAGACTGCACACACCTGATGGTACGATACTGCCCCCTGGTGGACAGGAACTGACACAGCACGTAAACAGGAGAAATACTCTGATCCTTCAGTACAAGTACACGAGTATCATCGGCTTCATGTAGTTAAAGTACCAACAGTACAGCTACACATAGTGCACCATAAAGTGTGTGACTGAGATCTGTGTGACATTATTAGACTGATAATCAATGTCATTCAATAATCAATGTTAATCAATAATCAATGTCAATCAATAATCAGTGTTAGAGCTACTTTGAACTACTTTATATACAGTTTAGTCCACTGGTTCCCAACTTATGGGTCGGGCCCTCCAGAGGGGTCGCTGATGAAGTTTTTATGTTTCAGACGGAAATAACAGTGAAATATAAAACCTGCTGTTTTTGTACTTTCTGGTTAATTAAAGTGTGTTTTAATGGAGGTAATCAGTGATCTGGATCTTAATGAGCAGAGTGATTACAGCGAGCAGCTCAACGTGTTCGGCATCTCAATCAGTGAACAGACTCAGAAACCTGATCTACTCAAAACACTGTTGAAACTGAATATTAAGTAAAACTAAGTTAATTTTCTTGATCAAATAACTTTATTGACACAAAACAAAATTACTATTGAAAGGTTCTTAATCAAATATGTTTTTAATTTGTGTTAAAATAACTAATAACTTACACCAGATAAATTAATTTCACTCAGTTGAAACTGATTCCATGAACATTTTAAGTAAAACCAACTACATTTTGTAAGTTAGAAAACATTTTTTTTAATAAAATAACTTATATAATTTTAAATGTCAGCGACTTCATTTTGTCATTTTTATTTGTTTGTATAAAATACCTAATACACTCATTGCATTAACTCATTGAATGTTGTCTAAATGTAAATCCAACAAAAGTTATCTTAGGACAAATAGAGCAGGTCTAGACCGTATTATTAAATGATTAAAGCCACTGGAAACACACAATATTCACAATAACTTTGCAATTATGTAATTTAAGTTATGATGTACATAACACATCTACAAAGTATTAGAAATTAGTTTCAATTCAAATTTAAATTTAACTGATATTATCTTATGAACGTTGCCGACTAAATACTTTGGTGGTTAAATATAATAATAAATATTTAAATACACCTTAATGAAGGTCAGTTCCTCTCTTTCATTGAACTTGTTCCAACAATCACCAACTCTCAACTGTTTCCATTAATGATCCCAAACTGTGAGCAGACAGACTCCTGATGCCTTCCTGTGTCTGATCTGAGGGAAACTAAATAAAGAGGAGTTCAGTATCTGTCTCACATCAGAGAGCAGATTCAGCTTTACGTCAGCTGACTGAGAGCAGCGACAGTACGTCAGGAAGGTCGGACCATTCAGATCAGAGCTCCAGAAAAACCTCTCAACCGATCAGATGAAGCCGACTGGTCTTGTTAAAAATTATAATTATATGTAATTAATAAAATAAAGATAGAATATAAAAGAATATAACAAACAGATAAAATGTGATTTATATGTTATTTGAACTATTACTGAATAAATAAGCTTCTGTTTGCATTAAAGTTTCACTCACAGACAGAACCTCCTGCAGAGTGACGTTATTGATTATTACAGTTAATCCAATAAAGTTACTTTAACTGAAATATTTATTGACTGATGTTGGTTTATACGTTTTAAATGTTTTTGTAAATATAAACTATAAAATATATTTGTACACATATTATTCTAGAGTTGTGTCTGTCCTGTTTTCATAGAATAATGAGTGTTTGCTGTCCTCTGGTGGCCACAGAGAGGAACTACAGCACTACGTTTGATACAGTTCAGATCAATGATGGTGATCAACAAATAAATTATAAATCAATAAATACATAAAACACACTTCCTGTTTCATTTAACTAGCTGATCATATTCATGACCTTTCCAGATGTTGTGATTAGATATTTTCCTCCTGGACGGATTAAATATCAAACATAGTGTAACTGAGTACATTTACTCAAGTACTTTTACTTTACTTGAGTCTTTAAACTTCCATCCAGAACATCTCAGAGGGGAATATTATACTTTTATCCAACAGCTTTACTGAAAAATGAATATTTTTACACACAAACACATTATTGCTTATAAAAATATGATGTTTTGTAACAAATTAAACAGTTTGTAGAGCTGGAACCATTAGTCAATAATATTCTAATATTTGTAATGGAGTATTTTCACAGTGTGGCATCAAAACATTATTCATTAAAAAACAGAAACAAATAAAATCAAAAACAAATAAAAGTCTGTCTTTGGAACAACATGTACTTTATGTTTGTTTGTAACTTTATTAAACTCCTTTAAGTTACAAACAGTAACATTAATGGATGTTAATCATACCGAACAATAAATCCATACAAGCAGCATTTATTAACAGAAAATACAGGAAAAAAACACAAACAAATAACTAAAACAAGATAAACAAACAACCAAAAACATCTCAAATATAAATTAAATGAAATTAAATATAAATGAAATGAAATGAAATGAAACAATAAGTCTTTCCATCACTCTGAAGGATTTAAAGCTCGGACTAATGTACGTGTGTCATAGCAGCGGCTTTTCCGAGGAGTACTTTAACGCACCACAGATCCCAGTTTGTCCTGACTCCAGTGAACACATCACGTTCCCGCCGTCCGTATTAACTTATTGATTAGTCACATTTCACTTCCTGTTTACAGAAACTAAATCCCGCGTTTAGAAACGAGCAGAGAGCGAGTTTACCCGCGTTGTGTTCACGGTCAGACTCCATGTTTCAATGAGAGCTTCACCTTTTCTCCGCTTCCGGCAGAAGACTCAAACGCCGCAGCTGCTGGCGGGAAAAAGAGGTGTCGCCCCCTGGAGGCCGCCGGGAACATTACATCACTACCGCCAATAAAGTACATTTAAAAGGTTTATTTCATTACATTATCTTTAAGACAGGACAGACACATTCACTCACATTAAAAAGACTAATGAATTCATTAAATTAAAACAACATTATACAATAAATAAAACCTAAAAACAAAAGGGGATTACTAAAAATAAATCCAAATATTTTACAATATTATAAAGTTAATCATTTTTTAAATCTACAGCGATAACAAACATATAATAATTTAATATCAGCGTTACAAAATGTGACAATATTAAACTTCTGGTGGATTCATTTATGACTTTTATTTTGTCGACAGATTTAAAATACACAATGATAATGATGATAGTGAGTTTTTAAAGGAAGCGTTTCACAGAGAGAGCCGCTGTTATGTTATCGAGGTTCTAATTACAGATAAACATGATGTAAAACAGGAATCAGAGACGGACTGAATGTGATGGGAATGCTTCAATCACAGCTTCATAAGTCCTGCTGCTAACAGCGGAGACTCTTCACCCACCAGACTGCATTCACAAAGAGATCATTTTTATATTTACTGTCTTCGTACAGCCTCTGACTGACTGTTATTTATGTAGTAGGGTTATAAAATACCTTTATTCTGTTTAACATAATGTATACAGTGATATATTTAAGTTATATTATATATTGTTTTTGTACTTTCAGCATAGTGTCACTACAATGTTCATCAGATCAACTCGAGCTGAAATGAACCGATCCACAGAAAGTGTTTTCAAACTGGAATTATTTTGTTAAAGGAACTTATAGTGAGGAAGTTTTCACTATTTAGAGAAAAGACTAATTGATAATGAAGATTTCACAGTTAATGTTGATATATATACAATAGTTTGTTAATGAAGGTAAAATGTGACTAACACTAATTGTAATAAAGTAGTGCTGCTTATATTCTATTTTCCAGATGTAAGAAACAAGCTCCCAAAAATATCCCATAAATCATAAATCATAAATCATGAATAAATAACAGAATAATATCCAATCTAATGTATTTAGTCAGCTTTAAAGTCGATTCTTCACACCAGAACTACAAAGAATCGACGTTTCTTATTCTCCCACAGTGAAACAGATAAACAGATAAACAACCGTCCACTGGATCCTGAGGGATCAATCAACTTATTGATCATTATTTATATTAATTATTGTGAAATATTAAAGATGTGAATGAGACCCTGCAGTGTGTTGTTGTTGTTGTT